CTTTGATGGTGTAGTTGACAATTTCAAAGTGTACAAAGTTGAGACGATAGGTAAGCCTTGGATTTTAAAAAACCGATATCTTTGACATTTGCCATTTTATCTTTTTTAGGTGACGCCTACATGGTAGTTTCTGGTCTTCCAGAACGACGAGAAGATCACGCCTCGCAAATCGCCCAGATGAGCTTAGCGTTGTTACACAAAGTGAAAAACTTTGTGATCAGACATCGACCGAATGATCAGCTAAAACTTCGAATCGGTATGCATTCGGGATCAGTTGTCGCCGGCGTCGTAGGCTCGAAAATGCCTCGATACTGTCTGTTCGGCGATACGGTCAATACTTCAAGCCGTATGGAAAGTAACGGACTACGTAAGTTGATCGTGGCATTATTTGAATCATATTAAAAAACGAAACTACGCTTCTTCAAAAAATCCCTCTTTTAAGAAATCTTCTAACTTCTAAAAATGTTTGCAAAAATGTCCTGTCAAACGTGCTTCAAAATTCTTCAAGGAAACATTCCTTTTTTCAATTAATTTCTTTCCAGTTGCATATATCAGATGTATCTCAGCAAAAAAAATTATTGGGGGCCAATTTGCATGTTTTTAATCAGTCATTATCTACCCTTTGTCTTGCTATTAACCTTTGCGGCCCGGTTGGGGTCTGCATTACCAGCGCAACAGCATATTTCCATTCCTTTCTGCTAGAGATCGCCTCATATCGCCTTCCCCTTCCGAATTTTGCTTTGCACCCACCATTTTATTCGTGTTGCATCACATAAAAACTTTTTTTCTTATGGAATTTAAATCAGGGCTAAAAGGGGAAAAAACTTTTCTTAATTTTTTGCTAATGTAAGCTGATTAAAGTCAATGTCAAGGAGAAATACAAGCAAATTTTACATTTCAAAGTTCTGAATGCAGAACTACTTCAGATGCGAGAAGTGGTTCCCATATTCTTTTTTATGCAATTCTTTCCTTTTCTGCTTTTTGGCGTATTCCGACATCACTACTTTAGTGCTCTGCTGTTTTTTTGAAATACCACATCTCGCTCGTTAGTTCTTTTGAAAATATTCTTGCTAAAAAATTTATGTCCGGTCTATTTTCAATTTTTGCTAAAATCTCGTTTTAATGTTTGAATGACTTCGCATATCTTTATGTACTAGTAATTCTCTTTAGATTCCGTCATCTTTCAAACCTTTTCGTCATAAGCATACTGTTTAAATAGTTTACTTCTCTAAGCGAACTTTCTTGTGAAAAAAACTTTTTGTCAAAACGCAGAAGATAATGAATTATGGTTCCTTCTAATAATTTTTCTTTTTCTGATATACTTTTTCAGTATAGTTAATTTATGATCATTTTGATGTACAATTTCTGAAAACAGTTATAAGCGCTGGCGCTTTGCTTATAATTACTCAAATAAATCGCATTTTTTGTTATAAATTTCTGCATAGAATGTCTCTTTGTTACTTTTTTCCAAATTTCAGCGCTACGAATCCATGTCTCGTCGGTAACAAAGGAGATTCTAAGCAAGGATACGGGTTTCCGATTAGAA